AACATTGCCCGCGACGACCCATCGTCCCGACCACTGGGGGGAGCGACATGGTACCACCGCACACCCCCGCGTCCACTAGCGACCAAAGAAAAGCAAGCCCTGCCTCTCGTGTGCGCGAGCAGAAGGCCTTGCTCGGCAGGGAATACCTCGACCGAGGCTCCTCGCCGTCGTACCAAAAGAGGCAGGACACCCAGCTCGCGATGGAACGTCCACGCCCCGGGGAGAACTACCCCCGAAACGGCCCGGCTACATCGCCGGCCAAACTGGCCAGTTCCCTGCACTACCAGTAACAAATTGTCGAGCTAACACCCGAACACACCGAGCGCACACTTAGAAAATTTACAAGAAATGTCATACATATCAGAGGCATTCAAAAGCATTCAAATAAACAAACACGAAAAACGAGCATAAACGACATGCAAATAACGAGCGCACACTTAGAAATCCACGAAAAATATATTAAACAAAAGCGGGCACCAGCCCAGTAGTCAATGGTACAAATACAGAGCACGCAGGCCCAAAGAAAGAGATCACAAAAATCGGCACGCAGGCCATAAAAACGACGAGCACGCAGGCCCGACAACCTAAGCTACCTCGTCTGCCCAGTCAGCAGTCGCGGGTTCCTCCTCGGGAATAACAAGGTAGGGGTCGACCACCTTCCCATCGACGATCTCGTGGTACGGCCCGATCCCGTCCACAGCCAGCACGACACCGGGGTTGGCGACCTGAACCTGCTCAACAGCACTCTTGAATTCGACCTCAACAGCCTCCAGACAGTCGCTTTCCAACACCCGGATACGAGCGATCAGGTCATCTCGAGTGATTAACCGTCGATCCCCATCTGTCTCGTCCTCGGCTGGACGGACCGCGCTGTTCAAAACTTCCGTGCGAACCTTCAGCGCTTGCACCTCAGCCGTCGCTATCCCCAGTTTCTCCTCCAGCGAAGTCACCTTCCCCTCAGCACCCTCTGCCCGTTTCCGCTGCTCAGCAACATCCTTCTGGCTCTTCTCCAACTCCTCAGTGAGCTTGGCCAACCGCGACTGCGTGAAAGTGAGATCCCCCTGCAGTTTGGACAGCTCAGCAGCGGAGCAACCCTCCTCGTTCAGCACAAGAGCCATCGTGAACGTCCGCATCATTGCGGCTAAATCCTCAGCCAGAACACGTCGACGAGTCTCTCGATCGGCCTGACGAACAGCCTTCACCTCCCCAGCGGAGACAGTGGGAGAACGGGCACCATGAAAATATCCCGGATGCTGGTGGCAGGGCGGGACGACATAACCTTCCTCGGCGGTGCCGACCGTCAGATCCACCACTCGGGGCTCCTCGGACCTCTGCCTCTTCGACGCTCCTTTAGACGCAGGAGATTGGCTCTCTTGAGGCGAAGAGGACGAACTTTGCCCCCCTGGCGTCGCGACCTCCTGTCCGACCAGCTGGCTCACCCTCGTCCTCGGGGCCGCGGCATTCCTAGTAGCACGCAACTGCTTCACCCGCTCCTTGACGGAAGACATGTTCGCTGCAAAAACAAAGAAAAGAGTTAGCGACGGTCAAAAGCCCCGACCACGGGGAGAAAAACAAATATTCCTACCTAGGTAATCCAGAGCGGCCGCCCCGGTCGCACAGCCGAGCAGGGTCTTAGTATTTATCAAACGCTTCTTGGTGCGTACATTCTCCTGCGCGTCAAGGATATACCGACCGTCGGGCGTCACCAGCTTCGACGGAGGGAGAGACCGCACAAAAGCAACTATTTTCAAATAGGCGGCCATGTCCTTCTCCTCGAGGGTCCCCGCCCGGACGATATACCTATCCGTCCCTCGGCTGAAATGCTCCACAGTCCACAGTAGATGTATCTTAGGAAGCCACGCGCGGAATCGCTGGCCATCTACCGTTCGCTCGCCCTCGTCGAAGAGAGTGTCCGAGCCGTGCTGCGTGATCGGCTTGACGAGGTAGAACCGGTTCTTGAAATCTTTGACAGAATCGTTATACGCTTTGAAAAGTTTGGTCGATTGCTTAAAAGAAACCCATCCGTGGCGGCCATTCACCGTCTGCCGCTGCAGGTGGAAGATGCGGAAAAATAACGGTATCGTCGGCTCCACCGAGAGGTAGAAACACACCACCTCGAAAGCCCGGATGAAAGCCAAGGCATTGGGGTGCAGTTGGGACGGGGCAAGGCGCAACCAGTCGAAAAGCCCCAGATGAAAGGCGGAGAACGGTAACCGGAGCCGAGCTTCTTTAAAATAGAATTCATGCATCGGGAACATCCGTCGCCCATATCGCGAGCAGATGCGGTGATGTTCTTTTGGTCGGTACACCTGCCAGTGCTGTGGCTCTCCTATAGGCGTGTCCTCAACCGTGGCGTACACGTCGGATGCATCGGCCACAAAACAGGAAGGAGTAGAAAGCGGCTCCTCGGCCGCCCACTCCTCGGACGGGGCAATACGCTCATCGTCATACTCCGGAATCTCAGGTTCATTGTCTTCGACCATTATCCCCGGCACCAGAGCCGACATCTACATCTGAAAGCAGAGGACAACGGTGAATTCGATAGCCAGGATCAAATCCACCCTTCCACCGCAAGTCAAGTGAAAGGGCGACAAAGGCCGGAAAGCGACGAACAAACACTCGCTCCTCGTCTACCCTCCTCGGGGGATCGAAGGCTGACCCACCATCCCCCCTCGGGACAACCATCGGAGAAGGCACTTATCCCCGGGGCATTCATCGGAGAAAGCCCCCGTCCTCGGGGCATTCATCGGAGAAAGCTCCCGTCCTCGGGGCATTCATTGGAACCAGCCTATCCTCCCCGGGGCACTCATCAGAAAATTCGCCAGACACGGCGGATCTCGCGTCCCTCCTCGGGGCATTCATCATGCCCCGACCACACATTCCAATTAAACGACGGAAATAAAAAGGAGGGAAAAGAAGAACTCACTTGTAACGGCGGCGGACGGAAGGAAATATTGAACGGTGCGGCGGCGGTCGACGGCAAGCGGCGGACGAGCAGAGATGACAAAGCTTTGCAGACACAACGGCAGAGTGAAAAGTAGCAGAATGAGCGGGGACCCCCATATTTATAACCCGGCGCGGGATTCGAAGCGACCCTAGGCTCATTAATGACATAGGGTAGCCGCCCCTACGACCGCTTAACGCACGACACGTGGCGGCAACCTGACAGTCGCGCCCCCTCACCTGCTTTCTCCCCGCTCCGCCGATGTCCGGAGATCCCCGCACGAGTGCCCGTTCCAGACACAGCGACCTTAAGTCCTCGCTCTCTGCCTAGAGCTTCGACTTGGGGGGCTCCTGTTCCGGTATGGGCCCAGCCTCGGCAGGCCCAATACCATGTACGGCCCAACATGCGAATCAGGCACGCCGGGCACGTGCATCCCTCGGGACGAGCAAGGCATATCGCCGAACACAAAGCGACCTCCCCAACAACCTTTCACCATCCACCACACCAGACGAGCAGAACCATCCTCGGCTCACCAAAGCACGGTTGTGGGTCCTCCTTTCCGCGGGGAGAACAACCTGCTTCCGGGAACCTCCCGAGCTCCCCTCCGCGGGAAGAACAACGTGCCCGGCGCACGTTCTCCACGTGCCCCCTCCGCGGGGACACGTCTTCAACCAACTGCCCACCTCCGAAAGAGCAGGTAAAACCCGCTTTCCGGAGATCTAGGAGCAGTTGGACTAGGGCGAAGACCACGTCCCGGTCTTCACTACGCCACGTAAGCCCTAGCAGTCATTAGGGTTGGGCCTGGTCATCCAGCCCACCTCGAATGACCGTTGGCCCAGCGCTGGGGTCTCTCTATAAATACCCTCTTCCTCAAGAGGGTCAGGTAACTCTCTTCTTGCCCTTTTTCTGTACTATTGCTTCCACTCTGCCCAACTTCTCACTTTGGCATCGGAGTGTCTTGCAGGTACACCCGCTCCTCCTTCTCACCACCGGTGAATAGGTAGCCGTCCAGTAGCGCGTGGCCATATCGTGATCCCCTTCTGATTAGGTCAGATTATATATATATATATATATATATATATATATATATATATATATATATATATATATAAAAGTGATAAAGCTGTGAAATAAAAGGATGAGGTGTAGACTTTGGAGGCAGAGGGAAACATATATGAAGGAGACCCTTAAATTTGAATATTGTGAGATTTTTTTTTTTTTAGAGCAACATCTTTGTGAGAGATACACCGTATACTCATTCAAAATTTTAAGGTGATAGGTGTGTGAATTCTTCCACTTATAAATGTTCAATTCACCACATTCATATACAATGTGGAACTATTAGCCACACTATTCAGACTTATTATATTTAACAATTTATTTATAAAAAAATCAATAAACATTTTTGGGTTGCAGCATTCATCAACTTCAAAATATTATTTTACTTTGCCTTCACATTTGATTAAAATCAATTTTAACTATGTGAAACAATTTATTAAAATAAAGTAAATTTAAACCAATTGATTGAACTTAGATGGTTAATTAACTCCACTTAAAAATAAATCATTCAGCTGAATCCGAATTCAAATTTTTAAAGAAATCATTATTAATCAAATTTGACTTACGTCTAGTCATATCCCGCGTTATCCCGCATTAGCATATTACTACAACTACAATCCTCTAGAATCAGATTAATTTATTTATAAAAAAAAAAAGACAAATACAATTTTTTATGTATAAAATGAGGAAAAAAGGCAGAACAATTGAGTTAAAATAGCAAACTTAAAAATAAAAAACCTTTTCGGCATAACTGGTTTTTGATTCTCTTGTAATAACACGAAGATGCTTTCTGCACAATTATAGCAAAAATTGCATTCCAAAAAAAAGAAAGTGTTTGCATATACCACTCCTTGTTTTTTATACTCAATACCCCTATGTAAAATGTGTGAATTGTTCTAAAGTAATAAAATGGAAAGAAAAAAAGGGACAGAAAAACCAAAGCATAAAGTGCAAAAGAGAAAGACTAACAATAAAAAAAAAGTATCTAAAAAAGTTTTTAATTAGTCTTGACAGAAGCAGCAGGAGCGGTCCAATACTTCTTGACAACAAATAGAAGTTTTTCCCTCTCAAGTGGTCCATCTTCATGGTCTACAATAGCACTATCCCATTCCAATGCATTTGCAATGCTCTTTACTTTCAACAACACATCAACATCATCTCTGATTATTACTGCTCCTTCAGGTCTAAGAATCCTATCCATTTCTAGCATAATAGCTTCCAATTCACATCTAAAACACACAAAAAAGACATGTTAGTTACATTCACATAATCCAAATATCACAAAACTCTATACTTCAATCTGAAATAAAACATTTCTAGACTATGAAGTACGACACAGTCACAACATAAACACAAGACACGACAGTGACTCTGATAATAATTTTAAAAAATAAATAAATCAAACTTAATCATAAATGACTCTGATAAATGTCAGTGTTCATAATAGCTTCCAGTCTTAAAAGTTTCAATTTCTAGTATCTATAATAACAACTTTCACATGCAAGTTTGTATATAGTTATTGTAAACCAATATGTTATTTACCTTCCATTGTAAAGGCTGAACAAAGAATCAGCATGGATTAAATCATAGGTTCTTGGATAAGTAGACATTGCTTCACACCTACAAAATAAAAAATGAAACTCATTAGAGGCAAAAACAAAGAAAGAACTTCATCAAACACTTAAGAAGGGGTTATTATAATTGTGCTAACCAATCATGATATATTCCAATCAATCCCCTTTCATATATTGCTCCAAGTGTATTGACCTTAGCCTGAACAGGAACAACATTCATAACCCAAACAGGATCCTTAATTAAAACAGAAGCAAATCCACCCAAGTTAGCATTCATATCCAAAAGGTTACGGTATCTCTTAGTTCCTAGCTGATTATTCACTTTCTTGTAATGTGATATCCTTTTCTTCCAAAGCTCAGAATCTTTTGAATAAGTTTCAGAAGTAACCCCTTCAATGGTACCCTTCTGAATCCTAGGAGGAACAGACTCAAGCCTCTGTGGCCAGTTCTCTATTATCCCACCAGCAGTTTCTTCTTTGTTGGACACTAAAGGCACATGACTCAAACATGTTTGCAATTCGGTATACCTAAAACAAAAGAAAAAAATATTAGTCTATGCAATTGCACACAGAGAAATAAATGAAGCACAAGCCCATACCAGGCTTTGTCGGGATTATCTTGTGCACTGCAAAATGAGCGTTTTGTGGCGGATTTGCAACCCAAATGGTTTTTGGGTTTCTGCCAGATAGCAATATCATCTTTCTCAATAAGCTTTTTCCAGCAAAGACTTTTAGCTACTTTCTCAATTTTGTTTTGTTCTTCATTCAAGTCTTTTTTGGTTCTCTGCCAACCTTTATAGTGTTTCTTCCAGTTAATTGGTGGACCAGATAAAATCCAGTAACCTCCGGGGCGTAAAACTCGGTCGACTTCGTTTAGAAGAAGGCCATCATGTTCAGCCCATGGAATGAGGCAGCGAGAGCAGTGGGAGATGTCAAAAGCTCTTGAAGAGAAAGGTAATCTCTTGGAGGCTAAGACAGCAATCAATGCAGGAACTCCTCGTTCCAAAGCAAACTGAACTTGTGCTTCGTGTGTGTCTCTTGGTGCTATTGATAGTGTTATTATGTTACGTGATGCAAGATATGCTCCCCAACTAGCAACCTGCATTATATACCACTATATAAAAATTCACAATATACTACTAAAATTTTGTGTTATTTTTAGTTATGTTATATTAAAATAATATTACTATCGTATTAAAGTGTCATAAAATTCACTGGAGGCTTAAATTATATATCATTTTAACAAAAATATGTCTCTCTCAAATTAGATCATTACCTATTTGTTTGAAAAATTATATTTTAAACTTATGACTTGTATCCTTTTTACTTCACTTATGATTTAAAATTTATAGCTTTTTATTTTTCTTTCAATTTTACCATCCTATCTTAATTAATTAATTAATTAAATATATTTTTTAATGTATTTTTCGATCATAAGTTTATATAATCATGAGTTTTATTAAACACTACAAATTTAATCGACAATTCTATTCACTACCACTCCGCATTTAACTTAAAAATTATTAGCGGTACATAATTTCACCCAATAAAACCTAATTTATCAATTATCAATTAGTTTTTACCATATTATTTTAAAATATTGATAAATTCTTCATCTTTTTCCTCTTTTATGCCTATTATTACTGATTTTATTTTTTAATATATCTTTCATGAACATCTTTTTTGAATTGTACACTGATTCTAAAAAATGATAAAAATATTGATTTTAATAATAAACTTAAAATTACGTATTTAGATACTTTATTAATTATAATAAATAAAATATTATAAGCATTAAAAATCAATAAATATCATATATTATATTAATATTTAAAAAATCATTATTTTCAAAAAGAAAAGTGTAAAAATAAGACCTTCTAACAATTCTTACTAAAGTAAATAATTAAAGAAAAACAGATATCAAAATTGATAATAAAATATGAAACACATGAGATGAAAACAATATATATATATATATATATATATATATATATATATATATATATATATATATATATATATATATATATATATATATATATATATATATATATATATATATATATATATATATATATATATATATATATATATATATATATATATATATATATATATATATATGAGAGAGAAAATAAAATGTGCAAATAAATGATATAGCTCCGGTTAACACTTTAATTAGTACCTTGAAAATGTAGATGAAAACAAAAGCCGTCTAAAATTTTGTCAGCTATAGAACGCTTCATATTTATAAATAAAAATATTGTTTAAAAAATAAAAAATTATTTAGCTTTAAATTTTCAATTTTATTCCAAAGAAAAAAAAGTAAAATCTCAAAAAACGTAAACAACGCCAGCTGGATAAGCACATAAATTACTATAATTGTCTCATAAATAAAATGCAACAAATCCGTTTTTACATAATTATATATAAAACAAAAAAAAAAAAAAATTTGTTGCACTGAAATCCAAAATGACGTGGAAGGAAAATACCAAGACGATGATGGAAATTAAAGAAAAAGATTAGAAAGAAAGACAAAGAACAAGGAAAAATATATTTTTATTTATTATAAAAATAACAATAAAAAAAAGAAAAAGAACAAGAAAGAGATAGAGTGAGAAAATGTACCCCACAACCAGTATCAAGAGCAGTCCTAATAGAACCATCTTTGAGATTGATCAACTTTCCGATATCATCAATGTACGCATCAGCACCGTTAGGGAACATAGTTCCTCCACCGGGAAAAAAGAACCGATCACCGTCGTACCGGATCCAATTCTGCACAGCTTTTTCCACCGTCAATTCCCGGTGCGGCACATTAGCATACCAAGCCGCGTCCCTACTCGCCGGCCACGGGAAGGGATTCCGGTAACCATAAGGCGGCGGAACTCTACACTTCAAATCCTCTTCTCCTTTCACCGGACAGTGTCTCTCTCTAAAAATCAGTCTATCACGTTCGTATCTCAAAGACCGTTGCGGATCTTCGCACGGCGTGTATTCGGTGAAATTCGCGGCGCAGCGAGGGAAGGAAATGGTTGTGGACGAGGTTGTTGGTTTCGCGGTGGTGGCGTTGTGGTGAGACTGAAAGTCGAGAGTAGTTTTGGGATTTTGGAGGTTGCATGTTAATGGTGTTAGGGTTGTTGGTTTAGAGAGAGAGGTGAAACGTAAGCGTTGTTGGTATGTGCCTAAGAAATAAAAAGCTGCACAGAGAAAGACGAGGAGGAAGTAAAGGTGAAATTTTGTGGTTGGTGAGGGTTTGGAAAGCTTGTTACGTGAATAAGTTGAATCCATTTTGAGAGGTGCTGTTTCTGTGATTCTGATTGATTATTTACTATATATAAGCTGATTGTTGAACTGAAATGAATTGAATTGAACGTGCGTTTGGATTTGGATTCTGGAAGGAATAAAGAGGTGTATATTCTTTTGTAAAACACATACGCCTTGGGTTTCACAACATAAGTACTCCATCATAAATTTTTGTTCCATATTTTTTCTTTGTCTAAATTATTCTCAAAAAGGAAAAGAAAAGGTTTAATGAGTTAATAAATAATTTAGGATATTATATATAAAAAGATAATTATTTAAAAATAATATAATTTATTAGTTTTTTTTAAATGAGTTTAATTGGTATGCACGTAAAATTATTTTACACTGTTATTCAATAGAAATTTATCAATATGTTATGTCATATCAATAATTTAAAATTTAAAGTATAATATAACTGAAAAAATAAAGATGATTGGTTGACAATGTAAGTGTCTTTGAATTTATTTTTATTAATTGTAAAGACATACTCTTTGTTTTGATTATTATAATATTGTAAAAAAAGTTTTGATAATTATTACTTAGTCAAATAAAGTTTTGATCCTTATTATTGAATAACTTTTTTTTTTTATTATTTTTGTAAACATTTTTAAATAAAATACAGAAAAAATAATTTGGTATAGGTTATTATATATTTCTCCCTAGCTAAAAATAATTTTTAGTGATATTGACTTTTATTTGATAAGTTAGGATTTTATTGGACTTCTAAATGAGAATCTTCATTTATACCACCAATAAATAATGATTGTGACACGAAATAAATTGGATTCGATTCACAAAAGTAAAATTAGATAATAAATATTTATTTAAGATATGCTTAAGAATAATTTTTGTCTCTCAATTTTATTTTATTTGCGAAATTAATTTCCTATTATAAATTTAAATATTTTTTCCTCTCTCATACATTACACTTAAAATTATAAAAATAATTTTAAGTGTAATGTATGAGAGAGGAAAAAATATTTAAATTTATAATAGGAGATTAATTTCGCAAATAAAATAAAATTGAGAGACAAAAATTATTCTTAAACATATCTTAAATAAATATTTATTATCTAATTTTACTTTTGCGAATCGAATCCAATTTATTTCGTGTCACAATCATTATTTATTGGTGGTATAAATGAAGATTCTCATTTAGAAATCCAATAAAATTCTAACTTATCAAATAAAAGTCAATATCACTAAAATGCTCAAATCAATTTTATAAAAATCTATTGTGAAATTTTATAGATAAACCTATAATGTAAAAAATGCTCAAATCAATTACAAAGTCTAAAATGCGTCAAGTGTAAGTATGAGATTAGAAAAGTCTATCTTACATTTAGGTGTCACTTATATATGATGGACAATTTTATTTTGACTTTGCATTGTTGGTCTTGATATTTGGACCTTACTCGTATTGGACCTTTAACCGGTTAGGAAAAGTTGTCTGCAAGACTTGTCGGGTGTTTTATTAGTAAAAAAGTATTTTGAAGTCGTGGTTAACATCTTGTTATTAAAGTTGACCATAGAGAGAAATAGGAAGGTCACGAGGGAGTTGCAAAGGTAATGATAACAAATAGAGGTGGCAAACGAACATACCTGTCTCATTTAGGCATGTCCCGCAAAAACCTACAAAAAAAAACTTGACAAGATGGAGCAAACGTAGTTGATGGTGCGGACCTTAAACCTTAATCCGTAAGTGCGGACGAGGGGGGGGGGGGGGGGGGGGGGAGGGGAGGGGGGAGACAAGCCCACGACACTGTAACTTTTAAGTCTGAAAATGCATAAAATTATGTTAATGTCCGTACACACGTACAAAAACCTACAAAAAATGGAGCATACACATTAGAAGGTAACAGTACTACGTAAACGCTCTTGACCAACCATGATAAGGTAAAGGGTATTAGTAAGTATGCTACTTTCGACCACAGGCATGTGATTGTGATGATAAAATATGGTACGCTCAACATATCACAACGCTTAGCGTAAACAACCGTGGTGAAATATATCAAGGTCATGGGTTTCATTCTTAAGTCAACTGTGGTGAAATACTTTGCTTTTTTGTAAATATTATTTTTTATTGCATATATGCCCTTTTTTTAGTATTGAAGCAAAACACCCAACATGTTGAACGTTTTAAAGTTTTCTTGTGAGAATGATGAAGCTGCCGTTAATCACCTATAAAAAAAAGTGATGGAAATTGAAGATTCGTATAATTTGAATTGAGAATATTATAGATAAAATACAATTGTTTCAAAAGAACAAAATTTATTTGTTTTTTAAATATGTATAAAAAGTATAAAAAAACTACTTAAAAGAAAAAGTAATAAGAATTTATTATTTCATCAATTAATCATATAGACATTGGATTTGAATTTTAGAAGAAGTTTGATTTTAATTTTGACCAATTATAAAGTAATTTAAACGATGATTCATTAATTGTGTAAATGTTTTTACCCTCATGATAATTAATCTCTTAGATTTATTTTTATTTATTGAATATAGATTTTCCAATTTATTTATTGATAGGAATTCCGATAAAGATTTATTCTATGTTTGATTGTTGTAATTCCATAAAAAAGTTTTGATTATTAATATTGAGTTTAAAAAATTTGTGATTATTATTTTAAGGGTCATGCTAACCAGTGCCCTTAGAGGGCTAGTTAAGAATTATAAATAAGGAAAATATGTTATATTTAGTTCACTCAATACACACAATATTTTTTAAAAAGTCTGATTATTTCTCTTTTCAAGACATTGAATAAACATATATTTAGAAAAAAATGTATTTTCAATCTATTAAATAATGTCCAACTTACCATTTTAATCTCTTAACCAATGCCCTGAGGGCATGGTTAGCATTTCCCTTATTTATTTTAAATAAGATAAAAAAAAGTTAATTTGGTATAGTTTATTATATTTTAGTCTCTAGCTAAAAAATATTTGTAATAATATTGACTTTTATTTGACAAGTCATTTTTATTGGATTTCTAATTGAGAATCTTTCTTTTATACCGCCAATAAATAGATTCTGACACGAAATAAATTGGGTTGAATTTGCAAAAGGTAAATTATATAAGGGTAATGTTAACTTGTGTCCTTGGGGCACAATTTAAGAAAGTCTCTAAATCTTTATTATATAATGGGTAATGCTAACTTGTGTCCCAAGGGTACAAGTTACAAAAACTCACTTACAGTAAATTTGTATTGGAAAAAATAATTTTAAAAATAATTGTATACTTTAATTAAAGTTTTACACAATTTCCAACATAATATTTCTTAATTTAGTTCTTAAATTGTGCCCCAAAGGCACAAGTTAGATCTCTCTCTCTCTCTCTCTCTCTCTCTCTATATATATATATATATATATATATATATATATATATATATATATATATATATATATATATATATATATATATATATATATATATATATATATATATATATATATATATATATATATATATATATATATATATATATATATATATATATATATATAATGGAAAATTAACACACAATAACAAACTAATAGACAGTAGATATAAAATTCCTCACACTTGTAAGAATTTTGAGGATCAAAAACAAATATAAGATGACAAATAGAACAAATAAAAACACAATAGAACACCGAGATTTTAACATGGAAACCCCTCAATATGAGAGTAAAAAGCATGAGTCGTCACTATAATGAATTAAGGGTATAAGAGAGTCTTAAAGTGATTCACAAATTAGTACTAACAATTACAAGTCACAAAGTAAACTAACTTACAAATAAAAATAAAAAACTGAAAAATTACCCAAATCTGCACTAAGATATCTCTCGACTTTACAGTTCTGAATAGTCAAAAGTTAGATACAGGTGCTACAAACATGTTCTCCAAATTTGAGCTCAATCTGAGGATTAACAAATCAAGGATCGTCGATTTAGTGAAAGTGATTGCGGAAAAATTGGAATAAATTTCACTTTTCTTTTCTCTCTTTTCTCTTTTGAATCCTTATTTTCTTTCTATCTCTTTAAACCTTAAATTGATCCTCTCCATATTTGAGTCTTTCTCCAACCATCAGATTTAATTAACATTTAAGATTTAATATCTTCATATTAAGAGCACTTTATTGAATCCTTTTTATTATGCTTAATATTTAAAATTTTCATAAAAACAAAATCTTACCGAAAATATTTTTTTATATGATATTTAATTTTATAATTAACATGTCAATTTTAATTTTTTAATGATCTTTCATACGCTTTTTTTTTTAAACTCTCTCGATTTCTTATATCTATTGCAAAAAAAAAGTCTTTTTTTTTTTGTTGTTATGAAATTTTGATATTATTTATTTTCCTAAAATATAGATGTCTAAAATATATAATTTTTTTGCTATTATTATTTATTGCATTGTTAGAGAGTTCCATATATTATTATTTACTAAAAAAAAGTTATATTTGATATTTTTGTATTGTTAAGGACTTTTTTATATAATTATTTATCGTTTATCATTTTATGTTTTTGCATCTATGACCTTTTAAAAAAATATTTATTAAGTTGTCACATATATTTTCACTTGATAAAAAATATTGAAGGTTGTAAAATTATTATCTACATTTTTATTTGATTATTTATTTATTTGTGAGTTATAATTTTTTTTTTGTTTTTTGCAAGTTTTACTACTGTGATCATTTTAAACATAAACACATTATTGATTTATCACCTATATTTTCATTTGATTAAAAATATTTTTTAAAAGAAATAAATATTTTCACCTAATTTATCACCTGCATTTGAATAAGAATATTGAAAAAATGTGAAAATATTACCTATATTTTCATTTGGTTGATTTATTTACTTATAATTTTTTTTACTTGTCACTATTTTAAATAAATTTTACTATTATTATAATATTCTAATAATTATGACACCTGTTGAATATTGACAAATTAGAAATTTTAATCATATTATTTATTTAATTTTTTTAATGTG